ATGTATGTATGTGTATGTGTGTGTGTATGTATGCATATATATATATATATAATATTTACTGTGATATTAATATATATATATATACCTCCCAGTAGTCTTTGGCTTTCTTGTACCAGTTCAACTCTCCGGTTTTTTCATCAACGTCTGCGTCTGCCGCTTTCCAGAGCGCCTCTACACCTTCTGATGGATCTGGAAGTTCACCCGCTTTTGGCTGACGGTCGCCATCCCAGACCTCATCGGGTACGGTGCTATCTGTAGACATTATTGTTTCAAGGCTTATGGATACCTAACGACTCTATATGCTATCAACTCCTTTTAAATGTATTGTTGCTATTACAAATACGCAGAGATACATGACACATAGATTCCATATATATATATTTATTTTTATTTTTATTACTTTCTCACGTATGTACACATATGTAGAAATGTAGTTCACAAAGCCGCTGTAGCGATGTGATGACAGCGATATGCGTAATACGGCACGTGTAGCTGGACTTTTGCCGCCAAACTTTTTCAAGCTAAAATATTGTTCTATTTTCAGAAGGCTACATATGAAAATATGTATTTATTTACTAATAATATTTTGGATTTTTAGAGGGGTGCTGACCTGCTGATTGCTGGCAGCTGTAAGGATTGTGGATGCCGAGTTGCCGACCCTCCCTCTACTAGTGGCCTCTCTAGTAGTAGTCCCTACCCTTTAGGAACATAAACGGCCTTAAGTGCACTTAAAACTGGGATAGTTGATCGGTACGGGATGAAGGGCCAGGTGGATAGATAAATAGGAATCTTAGGATGCTTATAAAAACTCGAATTTGCATATTTAGAATGTAGTAATTTTTAGTTGAACCATTGAAAACCTGCACCTACATAAGGTCGTAAACCGATACTATTTTTGAATTTATATTTTAGTAATTAAAAACCCTTACATTTAAAAAAAAATCAATTGTATTTGAGCTTAGGCCCCGTGACCCGAGGGCCCGAGGCCCTGATTCAACCCCGAGAGGCGAGACTGCGAGACTGCGAGAGTCCTCACTCCTCGCTCCTCTCTCTCTCGCTGGCCTGGGGAGAGACCGAGAGAGAATGTGCGTGTGACTGTGTGTAAACTTGTATTTGGAGTGTATAAATATATCGACTTGAGTCCCGCGTCCCCGCGACCGAGTTCCCAGCGCTTCCCACTTCCCACATTACATATAAATGTACGCTTTCAGTCCCCACGGCGTCCCAATTGCGATGTATCATTTCACATTTGGAAAGACCTCCTTGAGTCCTTGTTCTTTCTTTTAATTTATCAAAATAGCTCCGTGCCAGTAGGCAGTAATCAGTATTTTTTTTTAAAAGCCTCGTTCCTGGCTCATGGCTGCCTGCCCCTGCCACCTGCCCCCCCCCCTCTCCCCCGGTGGCATGCTGTCATAAAGACTAAAAACATGACAAAGTCATAGCCCCTCGGTATATGATTTTTTTTTAAAATGTACAACAACAATCAACGACGGTAATAATGTCAAAACAAACACACAAACAGACTCAGTTTCGCTAAAATTTGAAAATAGGCGGCGAGAAAAACTAAATAATTAATTTTGATTGGCTCTAGTAATTACTCCCAACCGTCAGACCAAACGAGCAACCCTTGCGTTGCGCTCAATGAAAATAGTCGCGCCTTCCAATACAAATTCCTTTGTATATAGGAGCTCCCCTATTATATATTTTGAAAAAGTTGTTTTGTTTGTCTTCCAATACAAACTCTTCTTCAGACAGGGCTCCCTACATTATTCAGTTAAAAATAATTTAGCTCAACTTCTCAAGTCTCAACATCTCAGTTCTCAGTTCTGAGAATTTGAGTAACTTCTCACACAAGAAGAGAATCCATTTCTCAGTTCTTCAGTTCGCATCAGACCTCAGGGCTCAGGGCTCAGTTCTCACCTATTTTATATTCTAATAAAACAAATTCCTCGTAGACTGTAGATAGGGCTCCTCAAAAAATACAAAATGTTCTTTTTGGTCTCTTTAATGCTAGTAGAAGTCCTAAATACTTTTCCATAAAAATTCTCAAAACACTACATTAGTTCCTTATAAAATTGATTCAAATGCCCCATTCATAATTTCTGGTAATCGGGTCGGTCATAGCCCATATCTACCAAAATTCGAGATTTATCTACAGAAGTACAGATTCTGCAACAAACGTTTTAATTAATTTTTTAAAAACATCTGGTAAACGAAACTGGAAAGTTTATAACTTTTTCACCACAAGTCAGTACTAAATATTTGCACCCATTCTAATAGTCTCCTATTGCGTCCATCATTTATAAAAGTAAAAATAAAACAATACACTGGGGAGTGGGGGCCTGGGGCTTGGGGCCCTCCGGAAGTTCGGCCTTCGGCAGTCGGCAGTTGGCAGTTGGCAGTTGGCACTTGGCAGTGACACTCTTTTTTTAGAGATTCAGCCTTTTTAATTATTGTTGTATTTTTATTTCTATAAATATTTGCAGGCTGCAGCCTTGTGTTGAGAAGTTGAGCCTGCAGACTGCAGTCCTGCCAGTCACGCTTTTTTTTTTCAAGAATGTTTTGACTCTTGAGTTTTCACTTTCCTCTTCCAGACTTCCAGTATTTATTTTTTATTTTTAAAATTCAGTTTCATGTTTTGTTTCAACTACGAACCAACGACTGACACCCAGCGACTGACTGACACTGACACACACACAACTTGACACAACACAACAAGAGAGAGAAGAAGAAGAGACGGAGACACTATTTACTACTACTACTACTGACTGGGGAATGTCTACGACGAACGAGCTCTTCCCAGAATCCCAGTTCCCTGTATTCGAGTCGTTTTCATTTTCAAGCAACGAGCACAAAGAATTCCATCATGATTTTTATTGGATGTGTAAATATTACGGTCATACGACAGTTGATGTCGCGCCGTCGCGGACCCATATTTATAAATATATAAAATAAACTTGATTTTGATTTTGATTTTGATTTTGATTTTAAAAAACAACTATTTAGCCATCAGAAGCTACTGTTGGCCTAATGTGCAGTAAATACATATGTATTTTTTTTATCACAAAATACTGCAGTTGAAGAGCCTGGGGCCCTGGGGCCTGGGCGGCTGGGGCCCTGGGCCCTTCTACTAGCTACTACATACAGCACAGACTACATAGTAGCCTACTAGTAGGCCCTGAGTGTTTGGGACTGGTCACTGACTCACTGGACACTGGATTATCTGGAGTTTGGACTCTGGATTCTGGAGGCCGTGAAACCGTGTTGTGTTATGTGTCTTCCTTAAAAAAAAGTTGTGTGTACGGGGTGACCTGCAGGGTAAGACCATTGCCGGCTGTGCTACGTTGGGACGGGGGATTCAGATTCCGAATTTTCACTCCAACATCAAATCAATTCATAAAAACGACGCGTGTGTGCCTGTCTGTGGCGTTTACACCCCTCTCTGTGCCTATACGTATAAGCTGAGGGTTGCTGAGTACTGATTACATACATACCTAGCGTAACAGACTGGATCGGTGGATCGCTTTGCACTTGCTAATACCAGCTTCGATTATTCTAATAGGGGTCTGGCGTAGTTTAGAGAACTGATCATATGAAGGAGGGAAAGACTTGATCCTTTTACATTCATAAAGGGTTGTTTATGTGTAGCCATAGCTCGTAAAGTAAACCCTAGGCTGCTGCCACTTCAACATCGGTTTAGGATATGAGACATCCTGCAACCATTATACTGCTTCATGTCTGAATATAGATACCCTTTAAACACCACAAAGCGACCGAGGGAGCGCTGTATCTTTTACATATATACTCACACTCACAAACAGGATGGTTCACGATGTGATAGTTCCCACACAGTTCGACATCACATCGTACACAACCAGTAATACTACTAATACTAGTAATACCAGTATCAATAGGACAGTGGATAACAACAAGAAGGCTTGCATTGAAGATGGGGGCAGGCATGACACAGACAACACGCAGGAGAATCTCGCTGGCGACGACCAACAACCGTGCATCTGTGAATGCACAAAGCTCAATGAGAACGAGACATTTAAACAGTTCTTCAATCGAGTGGGCACGTTTATGGTCAAAAAGCCCGATCTCGACCCGGTACATCTAACATCGCGCAGTGTCTTGACTGTGGCGCTGAGGTATGTGAGTGCGCCCGTGTATTGTATGTGGTGTTTTTATATGCTTGATATATTTGTATGCGAAGAACATGAGATTGGGGCTCATGAAATTTCCAGTCCGGCTATACCTCGAATGTTGTTTTCTCGTTGTGTTATGAGCATGGCTGCTTACACATTGCTGTAGCTAGGCTAGAAATTCGTCATATAATCATGTCCTTATAGGATCAGGTCATCGTGTATGATTGCATTCTGCAACGAGATGAACCTGTCAACGCTGGTCGAAACTATTCATGAGCTTTTTCTTTTAAAGATGGTTTTACGGGGAAATTTAGTTTTCTTTTACTATATCCTGGGGTGATGAAAAGTGCGATAACATACGCCACTGCATACTTGGTGTATATAGCACCAATTATGTACATTTTGTATATACGTGGGTAAATATATATATATATATATGTGTGTGTGCGTGTGTGTGTGTACACGTACACGTGAATGTGAATATATGGATATATATATATATATATATATATATATATATATTATATATATATNTATATATATATATATTATATATATATTATTATTATATATTATTATTATTATATATATATATATATATATATATATATATATATATATGTGTGTGTGTACACGTGTATGTGTTTGTGTGTACACATACATATATCTTGTATAAATGTATATGTGGGTTTTATTTATCATGTGTTGTAAACGATTGCTGCACACGGATAAGACGTTCCTGCTAGTACAGATTTAAAGCCGATACTCAGTACCTTTATTTATATATATATATATATATAATATATATGCATCAAAATCTGTCTAAAGGTATGTGCGTTGATCACTAAAACGATACGCAATACAATCTCTACCTAGGATAAGCACTACAAGCGCGCAGTACTTCATTGCACAATCGTATACCGAAGTATATCAATAAATCATCGTATTGAGTTAGTTATATTTGCTGAGTATCGCCAGTGTCCCTCTGGTTAAGGCCGATTTCATTTTAACTGCACGAGGTTGAGTGGCAAGGCTCACAATTTATCTCAAAAGCTATTTATCTCTAATGCATATCAAATTTTTATATTTCTACACCTTTCTTCGTATCCAATTAGTTATTCCAATTTGCTGAATGAAGCCAATGTTCCGCTGAGCAAAGCCAAATTCATGGGATGGCTACGCGAGGTTGAGTGGCTTGGCTCGGGCGTTGCCGCTAATGAGAGCACAGATGAGGAATTGGACCAACGGCTGAAATACGGTACGTGGGCTATACCCAAAACCATCACTTGCGCAATTACTGCCATATTATTACGATTTCAGTAGTACGATCACTTGCGCAATCGCTGTCATATTATTACTGTTTTAGTAGTGCGATCGTTATATACCGGTATTATTACTATTCTAGTACAATCATTATACTCATGCCGTCGTATTATTACTATTCTAGTACAATCATTATACTCATACCGTCGTATTGTTACTATGCATAACACCAAATTTATTCGTTTCTAAGGCAGTGAGCGTGGTTTTGTATTTGTGTGGTATATTGCTTGGAAGTTGCGCTGGGGGCAGTTGGCAGACAAGGTGTTAGTTGATATGGGAATAGTTTCTGTATGTATGTATGATGTAGACATTTATGAATGTATATATGTGTGTGTGTGTGTATTTTTATATATATGCGCTCGAAGCAGGTTGTAGGTACATGGGTGGTCACCCCGCAGTCCCTTGTCTTATTAAGTATTTTGAGGCACATGTTATAAGTCATTGGGCTGTGCTCCACACGTACGAAAGCAGATGTTCCCACATGGGGATTGTTGCCTCACATGCGTGCGCCTATCATACAAGCGCTGCGCCGCTGACAAACACAACTATCGCAGATCACTTGCAATGTATATGTGTATATTATGCACAGCCTAAAACCACTCGGCATCCGTAAAACCTCGTGCTACAATGAGTATCCACGTACACAAATCATAGTGTACTTGGGAAGTGTTGAGTAATCTCAAGTGACTTCGACCTTTCACCACAGCCTATACCTACCGATTAGCCGGGAAGCCCTCACACCTTATCGACAAGACCGAAACGGTACAATACGCCCCCAAACGAGGTGCATACTGTTACAAATGTTTCACGGGATTCGAGTGCAACAGGAGATGTGGGCATGCTGAGCTGCCTATTCTGTATGTGTGCAAGGAGAACGACTGTGGTCTGGCCTGCCATGCGTGCTGCTTGGACAGTCCTCACCACTACAACGAGTTCTTCAAGGTACGTTATACTATATATATATATATATATATACATGTCTGTATGTATGTATGTACTTATTTATATACATATATACATACGTATTTATATTTCTATATATATTATAAGCGGTATAGTGTGTAAGTTTATGTGTATGTGTCATGTAGAAAGTATCACTGCACTGAATTGTTCTAGTTTATGTTGTATTTGTTTCGCTTTCGGTGTCTATATATCTAATATCTCTACAGTTAGAATGATCTCACCAAAGTATGTTAGTTTGTGATCTCACCAAAGTATGTTAGTTTGTGATGTAGAAGGTTCCTGTTTAACTTTACTGTTCACGGAACGAGTTAATATAGGTTTGTTGTGTTTATCTTTATGTGTTTATAAATGGAACGACGCGGTTGCGCCTGTCACGAGCATCGTTGAAAGAAAGTCCTCACCAGGGTGGGTAGTATATTTCGGAACTATCTGGTATTAGTGTAAACGTGCAACCATACGTTCTCTTACTCGTTTTCGAGAGAGAACGTGTACATCCATGTTCTGCAAATTTGATATATGTGAAGGTTTGTATATTAAACTCATACATGCATGCATTCTTCATACATGCATGCATTCTTCATACAATTTCGGTGAGTTTGACGGCAGTTCTTGCACACCGCGATTGCATCGAATACCTTCTCCCACAGTTATAGATGAACGTACGAATCTATTGGTGCATATAGGTCATTGAATAGGATAGCAGTAGCTGTTGTATGCAGCCGAGGTCATATACACTGGCGTCTCCGTATTCTTTCCGTAGCTTGAAGGGTGCGTGCGTTCCAAAAGTTGTGCGCTTGCACCCCAGACACTGGCGAACGTGAACTGTATCGCACGTTAACAGATGAATGATTGTCTCGTTTTCACACTTTACATTAAATACATGTATGTATGTATGTATGTGTGTGTGTGAGTGTATATAAATATATGTGTGTGCGTGTGTGTGTATGTGGGAGGGAGGGGGGAGGTAATTGTGTGCGTTGTGTGTGTGTGCCAGAGACTGTGATAAGCGTATATATGCGTATAATATTATTTCACGTATGCCCAAATATATTTCACATGCCATCTCTGATAAATGGATATTTCGAACTGGCCCTGTTTACATACTACGCCTAACCTACTCACCCACAGGGCGATGTGTCTAAGTTCAGGCGGTCGCGTGCGAAGGCCAAGATCGCATGGTACTGTGCCGAGCACAACTATACTGCGTCCGGTTTGAGGCGTGACAATAGCGGGATGGGAATCAATAACGGTATGCACATCGGGACGGGTGTGCACGTGGGTATTGATCACGCCGAAGACTTGTCCGTCTCCCGTTCGCAGTCCTTTCTGAGTGGGCGTGGAAGCGGGAGCGTGGCTGATGCCAACGCTGCTGCGATGAATGGCGGGCCGTACAAGCCGCGCGGAATCGATAGCGCTATGAATAGTGCCGCCACGTACGCGCATGCGGATACCAGCGCAGGCGCCCATACCGTTACCAGTATATCCGGCACAGGAGATGGCGATGGGGAGGGCTCCGGGCCCAAGAGCGGTGCCAACAAGACGGAGCGTGTGAACAAAAGTCTCACGAAGGGTTCGAAGAAGAGCGCGGATAAGAGCAAGCAGCAGCCAAGCACGCTGTACAGACGTAATTCACCCTCTAAGCTGGCGTCTGCGACAGAGCGGTCGTCGCGGGCGGGTAGTGGGATGCCCGGTAAGTATAACAGTCAGCCGGATCTGTCCAATGAGACCGGCGCGCTAAAAATAAAACGGGACCTGAGCCACCAGGGTGACGAGGCGACGGATGGTGTGGAGAAACGCACGGCATCAGCGCACCACGACGGCGCACACCACGAACACGACCAACAACAACAGCAACCACGCCATTTACAGCAGTCACATCACCAACACCAACAACGCTACGCCCATCCACAACAACACCTGCAGCGCCCCCCCTCGAGCCCAACACATGTCGACACACCCTTCAATCCGTTTGCGCATGGGCCGGCCAGAAGTGCGGGTGCGGCAGGCGCACACGCACACAAGAGCGCGCCGCCGCATACGCACGCGAAGATTCTCGCGCGACAGGGAAGTGGGCGGCTGCCACCACCCAGATCAGGCCAAATGTACCGCATGGATAGCAATAGCAGGGGTACCCCTGCGGGACCCCCCAGCCAGCCCAACGCGATGACGGAGGGTCATGCGCCACTTACCCCGCAACCGCACGAGCACGCGCACGGCGCGTTTTCGTACGGCGAGCACGGGCCCCCGAATTTCGGTTCCACGCACCCGCATAAGCAGGCGCCAGCACACGCGCACGGCCACGCGGAAGAACACTCCGGCGAGTATACGCGCGGTTCGGCGCATGCACACCCCCCATTGCAGCACCGGCCGCCTATGGCGAACGCCATGCAGCGCAAAGGGCCGCTGGGCAGCGCACCCGGACTGCGGCGGTGTGACTCAAACGCCAGCGCCACGGAGGGTGGAGATCCGCGGAACAACCCGACGATGGGCATGGGCTTTAGCATGGGCGCGAACATGAATATGAGTGCGAATGGAGCCAGACAACACCCGCCGCCGCATGCCATGAGGCGAGGGAGCTATGGCTGGCGTCCAGCTGGCCCTGTCCACCCACAGGCGCAGGGGCAGGGGCTGCGAGACTCGCCACCACACCACCTGCAACGCCAACTCTCGCAGCAGCAGCAACTACCACAACAGTACCAAGCAATGCCGCACGAGTATGAGGGCGAGATGCGCCGGGGACAGGGATCGGGACCGGGACCTCCCCCTAGTGGTATGGCCCTTCACCCGTCTAAGCAGTTGAGCTACACCCACGGCCAGGAGATGCACGAGCACGACATGCACAGGCAGCCGCACAGACACCCGCCGCACCACCCGTACGTCAGGTATGCGCACCAGCCGTTGCACCAACGGCCTCCGCACACCTACGCGCAGACACAGGCCGTGGCCCCGCCATACATGCACGGCGACTCGCAGTCACAACTCGCGGGGATGCATCCCGCCAAAATGCTGGACAACCCAAATGCGGGCAGGGAGGCGGAGCATGAATGCGCGAGCAGTGGCGAAGAGGAGGGGGCGCGGATGAATACGTCGATGGGGAGCGCGGAAAAGGGCACGGAGCTGAGTGGAAGCCGTTTGGTCTGTGAGAAGAAATCGCAGATACGTCCGAAGCTGAAGCCCAAGCCCAAGGCGGCCAAGCTGTCGCCGGAGTCGAAAGTGGTGAAGAAGTCGCCAAAGGACTCGAAGGGGGTGACCAAAAAAGGCCTAAAGAAGGGCCTGAAAGCATCACGCACGGTGGTCAAGAAGAAGGAGGTGGAGCTCAGCGACACGGCCAAGTCCGAGATGATCAGCGCGGCACTGACGCTGACTCGGACAGAAAAGGCAGTGATGAAGCCAAAGGCGGAGAAGAAACCGCGTAAAAAGGCCAATCCCACCGCCACAGCGGGGGAAAAGGTGCTGAAAGCTGCCAAGAAAGCCTCTGGGAAGGGCCTGAAAGTGGGTGGGGAGGGCCCAAAGGCTATGAGTGCCAAGAGTACAGGGTCTAAACCCAGGAAAATTTCGGCCAAGAAGAGCGGCGGTGGTGTGGTGGGTGTTGGTTTTGAAGACGCCGCTGAGGAGAACGGGAAGGCGGTAGGTCGCTCAAGCAATCCCGTGCAGGTGGCAGCAACACACAAGGACATGGTACATCCGGAGGCGCCTGATGAAGTGGGGTATACAGGCACGCCCTATGCCCAGGGCAACCACGATGACCGACCCGTAACCAGCAGCAACCCGAGATCTATAAATAGACCGGGTGAGGGCGTTGCGGGGAGGCAAAGGTCGGCGTACGACGGTGCGCCCGACAGTGGACGGGATATGGACCACGAGGAACGGGCGGATGGTGCGGATAGCATGGGGAATAGAAGCATCGGTAACCAAACAAACCACGCCCACGAGAACAACCCAGACCATATCATGAGCGATAACGGCCGTGGCAGTGACTCGGATGACTCGCGTCGATACGCGGGCGTGGCGCCGCAACCGCGCAAACTGCGGCGCGTGAGCGGCAGCAGTGCTAATGGACGGGTTACCTACCGGCGGTCGATAGGGTCGCACTCCGGCCTGGCGGATTACGACGATGAGCATGCCTGGGTAGATTCCGAAGCTCGGGGTATTGAGATAGGCATGCACGTTAACATGGGCCCGGCTGGTATGCCTGTGACGCTCCCGCTGAGTATGAGCAAGACGATGAATATGGCGATCGGCCACAGGCGCGCGGTGGGGGAAGGGCTGGACAACCCCAACCCCCGTATGAACGGGTTTGTGGGCCCTGGGATGCCGAGGTACATGGCGGCTGGCGGTATGGCCTTGCCGCCGCACTCGTATGCGGCAAGGAAGTTTACGCTGCACCCCAACCACTCCTATCCGGACCGGCCGTCCAGCGCTCTGTCGTACCATCCCACGCGATCAATGCCGCCCTACGGTACGTTTTTAGGGTTGCTTGGGTTATGTGGTCTGATCTAATTGGGTCTGTTTGGGTGTCTTATTGGCGCGTGGTAGGATAGATAGACGGGTGTTTGTGTTGTTTGCCATGTATCCTTGTGTGTTAGTATGTATGTCCGATTTACTTTCTTATGAAAGTACAATTGCCGTGCCCACATTCAACTCGTCCTTGCGCGCCATATGTGACAAATTGTTTGCGGATTTTTTTCTTTTGCGCATATATGTTTTATATACATATATATATATTAAGATATAACAAGTATATATTATTGTCCATCAAGTCACGTTTCGGGTGATATAATACCGGTTGAAGTTGTTGCCTTAACATCACTCCCCAGTTTGTTAACACTGACAGTCGGTGCAATTGTATTGAATACTGTGTACAGGCCGGAGGTATCCCTTTCCCCCATATCACCACATGAACTCCCACACCCAGGGCCCGCCTCAACAGCCAGATTATTGTAAGTGGTGTTATGGCTTGCTACATATATGTATGTATGTATGTATGTATGTATGTATATGTATATATATATATACGTGTGTGTGTGTGTGTATGTATCTATGTATGTATGTAGATCTGGAGATCTGAATATGTACGTATCTGATTGTAAATGTGTATACGTATCATCGCAAGTGGAGTATTGTGGCACTCTACCCATAACTACACGAATAGTATAATGGTACTCCCGGCACTCCCTAGCAGTTGACAAACGTATTTCTATATAGCCACCTGGATGTACTGTGGGCATATGGCATGACACAATGACAACACATGTCCAAGAATCTATTGCGGGCCTGGCCTATTAGAGCCATGCATCCTGTTGAGCTGCACAGTGTGTTTGGTTTAACTGGGTTGTGAGAGGTCTGTACCCAGGGCAGCGGAGAATAGGTACGTGCATTTCCGTAACAAGAGTCACATCCGATATGTACGCTGCACTCAACAGATGGTGTCGAAAGTCTAGAGAGTGCATTATTCGAAGCGCTCGTCTTTAGACCCCTCACTATCGGTACATGCGTGCGTAAGTGTGCGCCTTCGTGTGTGTACAGTTAGTTTCTAGGCAGTGGTGCGCTTAGCTCATTCTCCCTCTTGTGCGGGTGTGTATTCTGAATGTACTCATGCAAATTGCGCACCCATGAGGCAACCCAGTAGTCTATATGAACACACCCGTGAACTACTGTACTCATATCCATGTGGCACGCACATACGATCATCCCCGTCTGATTTGTAGGATGGAAGCCCTACAATAAACTCACGCAGTTGTACCAAACCACTCTGATATAACCTCGCCACCCAGCCAGCTACTTCAATATCAAGCGATGTACTGCAACATCGAGAAGATCCCCACCTTGGACTAGCGACCTATGCAATTCTTAATACTCACACGCCTACTAGCGAACAAAGGCAGGATTTAGCCTTTATCTCATTGCTGTCTCCTATATTCACATATATATATATATATATATATATATATATATATTTATACATTTATACATTTATATATCTACCCTTACAACCCAGCCATGGAAGAGAGCGAGCTGAGAATAGCGCCGAAACGGAACGTAGAAGCCGAGCCAAAAGATAGCACTATGAATGGCCAGCTCTTTAATAAGCGAAAACGGGGCGTGCGAGACGGCAATCGGCCGCAATCGGCTCCGCCAGTGCAGCTGAAGGCCTTTGCCGCCGAACATGCATTAGATGCTCTGGCAGACGAGGCTCTCAAACGTATGTTGATCTTAATCTGCGCATGATGTATATATAGTGTGCAATTGTATATATGTGCATGTGTAGGTGTATATGCATATGCATATGCATATGTCTATATATATTGTATATAGTGTATATGTGTGTATCGATTGAGTTTTAGTTTAGGTCTGCACCTGAAGTATAGATATGTAGCCTTGGTGAGCATTACCGCCGCGTATGCTGTGGATGCTCTGACAGACAAACCTATGTCAATAGGTAAACGATTATAGGTTTAAATGTGTTCTTAACTTCAACACATCTGATTACGTCATGGCATTCGGCCTTCTTATCCGTATATTGTATAGAGATTTGGTCTCTGACATTGAACCACTTGTGTCATTGCACCGGTATAGGATCACCACAACAGTGTACTAGCTCACCGGCTGACACAGAAACTGTCGATGAGCAAGCGGAGATGGGCCGGCAGCACTCTGACGGGTACAGGGTAAGATAGTTGGCAAATCGATACTTACACATACACGCACATATGTAGTGTTATATATATATATATATATGTGTGTGTAGATGTAGATGTGCAGCATCTCGTTTACCTCTCATGATTGTGCGTGATCTGAGTTGAATCTGTGTTCTCCATCTCGCTAGCTCTTTGTTTCCCGAGTGCACGGTCTATCTGCTATCGTGCTTGGTCGTCGTTGCTAGCACCGCAACGCATCATAGTGCCCATTCTACTTTGAAGAGGCGTCACGACCTCGTTCGTGTTTTGTTTACGATAGTACCATCTCTCTCTAGGCACTCTACTATGACGATATATCACCGTGTTTGATCTTTATACCACACTCTGGCCCTTGTGCTCACCCATGCATTTACCAATGATCCCGTCCACGAGCAGAGGTCCAACAGCTCACACGGCGGTAGTCTCCATCTGCTCGCTGAGTTAGCGCTGCGCTTCGAGGCTGATTACGTAGCTGCTGCTGATGCTGCCGCTGCCGCTGCTGCTGCAACAGGTGGGGTTCAGACCCCTTCAGAGACCCCCCTGGAATCACATTCGTCTCCAGCACAGGCACATCAGACCGGTGAGGTGCTGGACAACGGTAGAGATAGTGTAGGCATGGACAACGGTGGAGATAGTGTAGGCATGGACAACGGTGGAGATAGTGTAGGTATGGACAACGGTAGAGATAGTGTAGGCATGGACAACGGTGGAGATAGTGTATGTATGGACAATGGTAGAGATAGTGTAGGTATGGACACGGACGCCAGTATACACAGTAAACAGCAGGAGAGTGGCCTGCAAGATGCTCAAACGAGCGCGGAAGATGTCCGATCGCAAGAATCGGATGCTAAATATAGCCCGCGTGCTATAAATAGCACAGCCAATGGCGAGCCGAGAGCAAGGGGTGACTCTGCATTGCGAGCACTGACGGCGGCACTGTTTATGGCAGAGGACACTGCAGCGGTGCACTCGACCAAGCAACAGCCGATGTGTGTGGAAAACGAGCAAGAAGCACCACAAACACAGCGGCAGGATATGCGGGAATTCGAGCAGAAACAGGAGCACCAACCCCAGGACGAAAATCTAGGGGCCTTAAAAATGGATCGGGGGCAGGGCTCGAAACAAAGAATGGCGGGCGAGCGGGCGGATGTGGCCTCTGATGCACACAGTGGGGATAGGCCCGCACACCATGACGAGGAACGTATGGGAACACATGCGCTAACCTATGAATCACCTGAGCGGAGATCCGTATCGCCCCCACCCACGCGCAAGCAACCCCAAACAGCGACAGCCGAGTCAGAAGCACGCCAGAGGAGCACCAAAAGTGTATGTGTGGACACACATCCGATGAACAGTGTGAGTGTGGTGTCTGTTGTCAGTGCCAATAGCAATTGCTCGGCCGCAGTGGCTGGGACTGAGGCGTCTACCAGCCAATGGGCGAAGCACAGCAATGCGACGAAGGCGGGCACTGGCATAAGTGCTGCCGCGGTGTTCGAGGTGACTAGCGTGGATGAGAGTGGCGAACGCGTGATGAACGCCGAAATCAGCACGGCCAGGTGACAACAACCGCGCCGCAGCTTTCATTCAGGAGTGCTGAGTGTACGAGATGGATTGAGTTGGCACGAGGGGTGACGAAATCCCGCCACCTATACATCTATCTCGCTTTCTTTTCTCTGTGTGTGTACCTCTCGCTCGCTCTGTGTGTTTGTGTGTGCGTTGTGGAGCGAGATGAATTGAGCGCTATCGGACCACAAAGCGGCCCCAAAGCACATAATGCCGGGTGGTCTATGCGATCCGTCAACACATTCAATGTGTAACAATCGACCGGTGAATAGCCACAATTCGTGGGGATGTGCGGAGCAGGTGCTCTGTGGGCTTTTAATTGTCCAAAGTCTAATTAATGCAGTGGTACTTGGGGTTGAATGTGAGTCCGGGCGAATGCCGCGACTGTTAAGGGAGCCTATTACATTACATACTACAGATGGCACCTGGAAAATGACATCGCCCTATGATATCTGACACTGGCATACCTAGCAGCAACTAGAACTGTAGGGGTACAGTGGTAGATGTGAGCGGACACTATGACTCATTAAGAGTCGCAAACTGAAAGTAAGAAGAAGGATCCCAGGTCACTTTAGAGTGACAATTTAAGAACGGAGAAAATCACCAAAGCGGATACGCACGAATAGCGGTGCGCGGAAGTCAGCATGCATCAGAAGTGCGCGTAGGTGAGCATTTGAGATGTTTGCACAGGACTCAACGGATGAACCGAAGAATGAATCAAACGAAGAATCACCGGCTCGCAACAATGTCGTAGGAATGTCAGTGTGATACATCGGACGCCAGCTTCGTGGATGGTTGGCCTTGCAAGAGTGCAACGCACTATGAGTAGAATATCCTACCGAGCAACCCCTACCACTAGGGAAGTATGCGATGGAGTTGAACCAGGAGACACAAAGACCAATACTTACTGTCCTGGCTTCGATAGAAACGGGGCACTATCGAAATTAGACGATGGAAGAAGAAATGAAGCCCCCAGAAGGGCGATCGTAACAATTAAAAGAGATTTCAATTTTCCATGCGTATTAGGATGTATAAACATACTAGAACTAAAGAGAGAATTATGGACTTGTGTGCCATATGTGCATTAAATACAAATCTGTATTCATTTTTATTTCTTCAGCACCTGCACATTTCATTAATTATTTATTAATACTTCTTCGGCAGATGCACTTTTCATTCATTATTTATACTTCTTCACATTTCATTATTTATTTATTATTACTTCTTCAGCAGATGCACTTTTCATTCATTTATATATTTATACATCTTCACATTTCATTTATGTATCAGTGAAGAGCTACATAAACACGTTTTGATGCTCTGGACAGATCTACATATATATGCGCGTACATTGTTGTGTCTGCTTGCCGAAAAACCCCTTAACGAGCATTCACTCGACAATGTATCCTTTTTAGGAGAATAACACACTATCCATTCCTCCGGGTAGTAGTGCTAGCTGGTGAGACGATGATCCTATCTCCGCAGTCAAAACTTTACTTACACTCTCAGGCTCGATAGTGTACAAGATGACTACTAGAGAACAACAAGTCATTGTTGCATGGCAAGCAAGCTCCAATATATTTCAGCCCCAAGTGCGCTAAGAATCAGAATATACATCTATGCAAGTAAGCGACCACCTACTGTAGTTGGTAGTACAGAAGAGTGACTTATTTTTATATGTGCACATTATGTGTATTTGGATTATTGCGCTGTGTGACTGAGCGTTCTGGTATGCCCATAAACCAACCAACAACTCGATTTGTTAGCAATGAAGTTTCTACGAAGCCAGATGAGACGTCCTATTTATAGATTCAGGCCATATCCAGATGTATAGGCTTACAAATATATAAATGTGTGCTATGTGTGTGTTTGAGTCATCAGTGCTCCGTGACAGAACTTACTTGTATATGTCTGTAACCGGCTACTGACAGTCTGACACACATGGGATTAATATACACGAGTTAAGAGCCTAAAAGTCATGAGCAGGGCATAAGTATTTATGTTAAAAAAGAGACTTCTAAGCAATGATGAAGATGTTTAACAGCCTCTGAATTCAACAAAGATAAGGTGTTCTTTTTATGAGGTTATGAGTCAGGCTTTAAAAAAATGTGTACATATAATTTTTTTGAACAAAAATTTACATACATCGATTTGTGTTCCCGCTCTTTTCCACCAATGACTGCTTTGCACTGTTTTGAACACAAACACCTAAAATAAACTTGGTTTATAGGCCTTTGTAGATGTAAATAAACCTTGTTCAGTTGTATACTCCTGTATTCGAACAAAGTTGAAAGGGCTATGTTTTCAGTTTTTTCCGGAATGAATTTCATTCTTCCTATGAGCGGCCGGCCATGCTGTTGCATTGCCCAATCAGCAATATCTACCGTCAATATTGTCAACAACTGTGCTATGCTCCTTTTTAGCTCCAGCCCGGCTCCATGAGAAGTATGCCAGACGCCATACGGTCAATACGACATACGGTGCAAAAAAAATAAGCAACGACATAACAAAAGGAGGGAATGGATGAGTGCGAAGCTTCAGATCTCTATACGAGTACATACACATACATACATATTATAATGGCTGCCAAAGTAGACGCAAAGGTTGTCAAGGCCTGTATCAAGGAGGGAGGCAAGAAGGGCCAGGATCTATGTGGTATGGCTGATTTGGGATCTATCAACTTCTTCAACGTCGTGATCGATGCCGCCGAGGGACGTGATGACTACCTTGACGAGTGCATGAAGGGAGCCAACATGGAGGTAGATGCCGAGGCCGAAGACCGCAAGGGTGGAGCCCACGGTCTGGGAAAGTTGTTCTATTCCGCTGGAACCGATCGTTTGGCGTTCCTATGCCACGTACCTGCTGCTCTAAGTAAGGAGAAGGATGTCACCAAGGAAGACTGGTTGAACGCTGTGTTGGCCTCGGTTGACGGAAAGGTTACCGAGACCATCTCCGACGAGCTTATCCGTGGAGAGGCACTAAAGGAGGGAGAGAAGTTCCCATTGAAGATGCGAGATACTGCTATCAATGCCGGTTTCGCTTTCTTGCGTGAGAAGGGTCTTGTGCTGGATGACGAGTCTAGTGACGACTGTGACTACGCCGAGGCCGCTGGTATCGAGTGGTAAACTCGCCATAAAGTACATACTTAATAAGAAGATTGTATATACAATAGTACTGTAGGAACGGGTTTGCCTGGCTGCCTGATAAAATGATTTAGTAGACTGGTAGTATGCTCGGAACGCTTCACATTTCTTTCAGGAACAGATGTAAATATGTTTACTGTGGTTAAATAGTGCACCCTTCTGCTGGGCAGAAAAGTAAGGAACAGGGTGGAACTTTGTGATTCTCAACCGTTATTGTTTCGATGTATAGTATACACGCAGTTTGGTAGTGGTCCAATCTTGGCTTGGACCCCTTGCGGTTCAAGAGTCGAATATTGTATATGAGGACGTAAGGTATCGATGGACATCAACTTCTATTAAAGCTTTTCATGTGATATATGAATAGAGAACTATCATTTAAGTTGTACTTAGTTAAGATCAGACGCATGCATACGTTCGGTATTTGTAGTACGATTTATGTGTTGAATCTTACGCAAGATATATGTACATATTCCTTTTCTAAAATAGGGTTTTAAATCCTTGACTACTTCTCAATTTGCTTTATTGTTATTGTGCACTGTTTGTACTACAGCGCAGTTATTTGTTTCCTATCACGCGATATCAAATTTTCAAGCACTCGAAGAATTCTGTTTGGAAAGGCTCTTTATGTTTTCTGGCGTACGCTGTGTATATATGTATACTGTCTGCAAACGGCCATGCGCTTCGATTTGTATGTAGCGCACTCGCACGATTCCATACACTCAAGTGCAAGTCTGTCAAAATATTTCTCTACGATCTATAACTTCTAAATATTTCTCTACCCTCTATAACTTCTAAATATTTCTGTCTATGTAGTACTGAAGTGTGAAATAGCAGACAGATCACATGGTCACGTTCGTGTGAGATCACACCATTTTATCACTAGTATAAGGTGGTGCTATCTGTCTATGCACTTCGGATAGTGGTTTCGCGGAATTAAAGTGTTGCACACTTATGCTAGAGATTCCCGTATTCACAAAGTAGTCAAAAGAGATCTTTCTCTTGTTGATAGGTCTAAACACACCTAAAATACGACAAGTTGTTTCTGTACGCTTTCTTGGTACCGTCCATCCACCTCGCTTGAAGATACAAGAACCTTTGCTCGCCAGGCGCTGACGATTCCAGCTATGAGTTTAGCAATAGTATTTTGAAAGCCCATCACAACCCGAGCGGAACTGTGGCCCCCGTCTCTGTGCAGCATGTCTCCTATAACCATATTTAGCCTGCACCCCCCTCCCTCCCTTTGTACCTGTGCACCTGCTCACCTGCGCTTACCTCCCTGCGCACTACCATCTGTACCATCATATGCTTATGTAGAAAATAAACGCGATACAGTCTTGTTGGAAGAAAGGTAGGCGTACCCCGCCGGGAACGACGGATGTATTTTACCTGCGACGTTGTCGCTTGTACCAAGTTTTTATATGAGTATTACAAAATACTATCACCATCAATTTGTTGAATCATTACATAGTACTATCACCATCACACTATCACCATCAATTTGTTGAATCAACAACAACAACAATTTGTTGAATCAATACAATAGTACTATCACCGCCAATTTGTTGAACCAATTTATTGAATCATTTCAATAGTACTATCACCGTCAATTTAAGCGAACCAAAGTCACTAGTCACGAATTGTTTGAAATACGTTCTCGTACGCTGTAGCTAGTTTATCTCAGGAAAATTAGAACAATATGCATCTACAAATTTGGTTTTATAGGCTTGACATGGTATTGATTAGCCCCAAATACTTGAATTACGTATGCTACCGGCACAAGTACGAGAGCCCCGCCCATGTGTCGGCGACCAGCCTAACGAGGAATCTCAGACTTTGGCATATAAATAAACTCGCTAGTATTGAATCCCCGCTGATTCATATACTCAGCGCGCTCTCCGTTGCTTCCGGTGTTTCCATAACTCCATATATAAATACTAGGTGAGTACAATTGGCAGTTGTATGTATCAATTCAACCCACCATAGCGGTCTGCAAGTATAGTCTCGTGGTGCCATGTCTGCCAACGAACACTCTCTCTAGTCTCCATCCGGGACTTCTCCTCCCCGGTGCCACTGTTTTAATGGATTTTAGTCTGCCAACTCATGCGCACTCGCTTCTCTGGTACTTGTTTAACTCTACTGCGCTCCAGTTCATGTGTGGTGTCCAGACCACACGCAAGGACACTCTCGTCAGTATATGGTACAGATACTTCAGGGTATTAAAAACTAGTTCCTCAAACGGCCAACAAGCCACTAATTGGCGCTACTGCACAAAGCACTACACTAATTGGCGGCCACTCGATTAATTACAAGTTAGTTCCCTAAGGCACCAGCGAACAAGCCACTAATTGGCTCTCAGCCCTGCACTAAGCAAAGCACTAATTGGCGGCCACTCGATTAATTATAGGTTAGTTCCCCAAGGCACCAGCGAACAAGCCACTAATTGGCACTCAGCCCATTGCTTGGGTTGATTGCTAATTTTAATTGGGCTACACTTAGCACATTGTTGCTATTCGCAGTATCGAGTGCACGTTTGCGATTGCATTCTGTGCATCAGGGCAATTGGTCCATTAATTGGCGCCTAATGTGGCGTTGAACTGCCAATTTTAATTGGGCTACACTTGCACACTGTTGCTGTTCGCTGCATCGAGCGCGCATTTGCGACTACATTCGGTGCATCGGGGCGATTGGAATACGCGTGTATGTGTGATATATCACACACTGCCTTGTACATAGCCGATCAAACACCGTGGTACGCTGCAGGCGTTTCTCCTCGGCAACTTGCAGTAGTGAAGTGCACTAAACTACGCACTCGCTCCAACAAGACTCATCGGGCTATCCAGATCCTACGTGAATAGCCGTCTGCTATGCGAAGTATTTTAACGAATCGGGGCACCCACTCAAGCGAGCGTCTAAAACCACCCACGCAGGACTCAAACCCGCTGTCAGGGCGTAGGTGAATGTACTTTCAGGCAGTGAAGTACTTTGACCAGAGCAATCGCCCACGCGGGAGTTTATCGCGTTACGCAAACCCGTGTGTGGAGAAACCGCCAAAGAGTGAGGTGCGTTGACCAGGGTTGAGGGTATGTACCTACACAGACAGCACTCGAACTAGCTGTACAGAATGAACGTAGGTGAATGTACTTCCGGGTAGGCAAGTGCATTGACCAGTGCAATCGCTGGAGTGGAAAGTAGTCCAGCTATGCTGAGCTAATATGAAGATACCGTCAGGCCGTGAGCTACCTGACCATAGTACGCACTCAACCGGGTGTCCCAGCGAACTACGCAGGGCTTAGACGGACAGGCTCCCCCGCAGTTGACCGATACGTCGTCCTCAAGTAATCAATACACAACCCCCAATCTACCCCATCTGCAGCAGAGACCAGCATGACCCGTATTGCCCCTTTCTTTCTCAGGTGGTAAACGCATTGCTAACGCCTGCCAAGGCCGTAGGAGGTATACCGACAGCCTGCTATGGGTTAAGGAACTGTCTAGCTTGCTGGATTTCATTGTGTCCTGTGCAAGCGTGAGAATGCACCCATTCTCTCAGAATAGGACTCACTTATACTGTATAGCTTGCTGGGTTTGAGGTGTCTGTAGAGCCACTGGTCACCTCACCCCCAAATAAATATTATAGTCTCGCGTAGACGACAATGCGCAGAGGTCCGCCCACGCCGTCCTTTGTTCTCAGCGAACCATATCATCAACCGCAATAGGAAACTGTGCATAGCCTCCTCAACTGGTGTGCTTTTTCAACTGATGTTTATCGCTGGGTTCGCGTCCTGGCGCGCACGCTTACTCGCTGTCCCTGTCTGTTGTTTGTCAGTAATGAATGGAGAGGTATTTGTTAATCAAAGTGCGGTACACAAGTACAACCCCGGCAATTAAGGTGCACACCTGAGGTCGCAGTTGGACTGGTGTTGATAGAGTGACACACAACCTAAATTCTGTTTGTCCCTATCCAACGCATAAACTAGGACAACCCAGGCACTGTGTGCACTACACACTAGTCATTGAAGCCAGGCGTGATGTTGGGGATGAAGTACAAATGGGCGTATGTATATCCAGAGCAAAAACAGACCCCCCAGGCAATACACAAGGCACACGGAGGCACACAGAAGAGGTGATACCTCACTGGATGCCAGAGAGTTCTCATGAATGGATGCCAGAGAGTTCTCATGAATGTATGCCAGAGAGTTCTCATGGTTCCAGTGTAGGTAGGTTATAGGGTATGTTGCTTTGAATAGCTTCACCCAGCACACAATACCTCCATTCAATATACATTTGTCGCGTGTAATTTTCATTGGTACTCTAGGGCGTACATCAGATACACACGCTTCTATCTGAAATACAATACACAAATACCTTCATCCAATATACACTCACGAGAAATACAACGCAACAACGCACAATACCTCCATTCAATATACGTTTGTCGCGTGCACTCCCCATTGGTACTCTAGGGCGTACATCAGATACACACGCTTCTATCTGAAATACAATACACAAATACCTTCATCCAATATACAAACACGAGAGATACAACGCACACTACCTCCATTCAATGTACGTTTATCACGTGTACTTCTCATTGGTACTCTAGGTCGTGCATCGAATACACACGCTGCTATTATACACGTATCTAGATGTCATATGCATTTACCTGGGAGTTATCCTCAGCTGCGCGCTTTCTGGCGGTTAGCACTTCGGTGAACTTATCGCTCAGCTGTAACAAGGACCACAAGAACCACAACTTAGATATTTAACCCCTGAAACTTAGATATTAAACCCTAAAACCCTGAACCCGTCCAAGTTAATCTCTGAAAAAAAAAGATATTAGATTCGCGATGAACAGAGCGTCAAGAGCGTATTGTATATAGACCCCACCCCCCCCACCACCACCGCAAAGAAATCCCTTTGAAGAGATACAGGGGTCTTGACTCTAATCTGATGTGTTGTATATGCAAACTTATCTCCGCGCTCCGGTCGCGAAAGCATGGCTGTGGCTCTGAATTGCCTCTACGGATATATGAACAGGCCCCAATACTCAAAGAATGGAGAATGGGCGTAGAGGTCCAGTACTATCAGTCAAAAACACACACGGCACCGCCCGAACGTTAGTAAGGCTACGACGCCTCTACGAGCATGTGGTATAAGCGAGCACCAATAAAAAACCTAGATATATCGGAAATGGTTTCGAGATGTCGTAAATTGTGGGCTTTCGGCGATATGACTTGACGGTAACCGCCCAGTCATGGAAGTGCACGCACATCCGCAACCACACTCCGCATCGCACAAACACAGGCATTATGTGATCGTATACTGAGAGATAACTACTAGGCGACACAGCGGGAGGGGGGGGGGGAGGGAGTCTTGTTTTGCGTGATGTGGGGAACTCTGTCCAGAATATGATATGCGATGGACTACAATGCTTACTGACTTGTAGTAGAACAAGTACAGTCTCATGGGAAGCCTTTAAAATCAATCTACCAATTTGTGTGGCTAGATTGGCTTGGTCTTTAGCTACAGCCTAAGTGCATAGCCCCCGATACGTACTGAGACAAGAGGCTGTAATACCGTTTCTGTATTCCGTGACTAATAATCACTTAATCAGTTACATCCAACCTACCGCTGACCGGGTCGTGCTCCATGTAGAGCATTCCAGACCCACTACCGTCGACGCACATGTGAGTGCCAAAGGATGTAAAGAACGACTACACTCACCTCCGCAGGTCGCGTGAGCTCGGATACACTTCCAACTGCTTCACCGCAAAAGAAAAGCGCAGAACAACACGGATACATACCGCTCAGATAATACGCCTACAACTCCTTCACAGCCCCGCCCCAACAAGTGACCCCCCCCTCAAAACCCTAAACCCAACGCTCATACCTTGCGGAGGTGGTAAGGTTCGAGAGCAGCTACCACCGACGTCGCAAACGCCATGGCCTGCTGCGTTGCGATGATGAGGTCTGTCTCGGCCGTCTCGCTAAAGTACTCTTCAAATGCACTTGAGCTCTCATGGGTGATCGCCTGTGTGTGCCGTGATGAATGGATAGGTTGCGTACTGGTATGTACTGCTTCGGTCTTAAGACTACAACAACGTGTGTGTATGCGTGGGTACACTCCGGTACTTGTCTTATTGATATTGTTGTGTGCTGGACGCTAATGGCTGCGACAAGATACGACAGATGTGATGCATATAACCCATGCCTGCGTGTGGGCAATTGCCTGTGCTTGTCTTGATGGATGGTGGTGTTGTGGCATGCGATGACCCGCTCACAGTATGAAAAACAAAGCCACGGTATATGCGTGGATAGTAAAAGCCACGGTATATGTGTGGATAGTAAAAGCCATAGTATATGAATGGATAGTAAAAGCCACGGTTTATGCATGGATAGTAAATACCACGGTATATGCGTGGATAGTAGCCTGCGAATGTGCCAATGTCATGTGCTTTTCGATAAACAGTGAGTTCGAAGAAACTGCTCAGGCAGAATGACAACTGTCGATACGGATGTATATGATTGAGTATTCTGTGTCTGTACTTGGTCTCTCAGATTTGAAAGCAAAATGAGCTGGAATGCTCGGGCCTAGATATGATGCATAGACTCCTATGTACGTATGCAGGTGATTGCGGGTGCTTGCCGTGGTGTATAGGTGTGTGTGCTTACTAACGACTCTTGTGTCATGGTTTCACACATAGACTATGCTTGGAGTGTGTGTATATATGCATAGGGCGGATCAGATCCCAATGACCGGGTTAGACCCATAAGCATCCATCATCGTTAACCCGCTAAGCGCACCCCGCAAGACTCACACACTGATCCAGACCAAGTTTGTACTGCAGATAAGATTCGATCGTCGCTATATCATTTGATAGCGGTATTGTAAGCTATACATTCCTTGTAAACAAGCAATGCATCCCTTATAAACAAGCAATACATTCCTTGTAAACAACCAATACATCCCTTGTAAACAACCAATACATCCCTTGTAAACAACCAATACATCCCATAAAACAACCAATAGATCCCTTGTAAACAACCAATAGATCCCTTGTAAACAACCAATGCATCCCTTGTAAACAACCAATAGATCACTTGCAAACAACCAATAGATCCCTTGCAAACAACCAATACATCCCTTGTAAGCAACCAATACATCCCTTGTAAACAACCAATACATCCCTTGCAAACAACCAATACATCCCTTGTAAGCAACCAATACATCCCTTGTAAACAAACAATACATCCTTTGTAAACAACCAATACATCCCTTGTAAAATGTCTAGAACATATTATTCTAGCAGTATTGCTTGCAACTATTTCCTCTGTTAAACTGGATACGTTATATTTCATAAATGCTCTCACAGTCGGCGAAGCAGAATACTTTGTATCTCGGCCCTCTGAAAACGTTATCTCCTCCACATACTCATAAATAAACACAGCTGAAATAACACACTGCTCTAGTATACTAAACGCTTACCAGTGCACGTTTACGAGTTGTTTGGGCCGCAGCATCGTCCTCTGGGAAGAACTCGTCTATCGCGTGCCTCATATTCTCCAGCAGTTGAGTGTGCTTGGTCCCGGGGACTGTAACCGCGTCGATGCGCATCTGTACGATTTTCTGCGATGTATATGGGTACTATTGTTAATGTTCCGTTCATCTATTGGCCAGCACCTTTCATCTGGACCATGTTCTGCGTTGCATATAGGTTATTGTCATAACTGTCCTGTGCCGTGGTAGTATCACACCAATCACTCACCCGTTCGTACATTGGCATACACGTGCTATCTGTTGGACTTGGTATAAAACCTGATAACCGAAGTTCATATTTGCGCATACGCATGCCATTTGCAAGACGTTCTGCGTAGTGCACCTGATACTCGTCCTGCCATCTATTGGCATATATTAAGTATATAGGTACTCATTGTGTATTCATCAGACACTACACCAACCCAAACTTATCGCAAGACAAAAATAACCCAGCGGCTGAACTCCACAACATCTGATCTTTGACTGTCGCACTACGCGAGCTATAAGTGACTGAAAACTCTAACCCCATCCACGCGGGAAGCACTGCAATTGCCCATGCGCCCTCCTAGAGGTCAGCGCAACGTTCCAATACATTACCCAAACCACAGTAGAATCCTCATACCAACACGCCCCACCCTCCCGAAGAGACGAGTTCAGCACATATTGTTGGTTTCTTTCTCGTACATGGGCGTAAGGCACGACATGGCAGCTGTCGAGCATAGTATCTAACGTATTCAAATACTTGACACCTGACACTTGACACTTGCATAATCATCACACTTACAATCATACACTCCTCGGCATCGCTACATGGACGTGTGCAGTTCATTATGCGGTGGGAACTACAAGTGTTAACCTTGTTCACAGCAGATCAGCTATACCCACGGTCACGATGACATAACACAGATTGACTTGCTATAACAAGCAGGCATGGTCAGAGAGATCGTAGAACACACCAACTAATATGCAGCACCCCTCACTCCTGCAGATGGACACACGAATAAAATATAAAACCCAAACGCAAGCCACAAACCAATACAGATTGACTTGCTATAACAAGCAGGCATGGTCAGAGAGATCGTAGAACACGCCAACTAATATGCAGCACTCTTCACTCCTGCAGATGGACACACGAATGAAATATAAAACCCGAACGCAAGCCACAAACAATATAGATTAACTTGCTATAACAAGCACGCATGGTCAGTGAGATCGTAGAACACGCCAACTAATATGCAGC